GAATTGGGCCCGGTAGCATATCGGCAGCCAGTGGAGCTGGTGCAGCAGAGGAGTTGTATGCTCCCTGCGCCCGGCCCTGTTAGTATCATGGCTGCCGCCCGTTGGACTAATTGGAGCTTCCGGGCTGTCTTCAAAGGCAACCCCACGTAGAGAGCGTTGCAGTAGTCAAGGCGGGATGTAACCAGAGCGTGGACTACCATGGCCAAGTCAGACTTCCCAAGGTACGGGCGCAGTTGGCGCACAAGTTTTAACTGTGCGAATGCTCCCCTGGTCATCGCCGAAACCTGGGGTTCCAGGCTCAGCGATGAGTCCAGGATCACACCCAAACTGCGAACCTGCGTCTTCAGGGGGAGTGCGACCCCGTCTAACACAGGCTGTAACCCTATACCCTGTTCGGCCTTGCGACTAACCAGGAGTACCTCAGTCTTGTCTGGATTCAATTTCAATTTGTTCGCCCCCATCCAGATCGTCACAGCGGCCAAGCACCAGTTCAGGACCTCGACAGCCTCCTTAGTAGCAGGTGGAAAGGAGTGACAGAGTTGAACATCATCTGCGTACAGATGACATCGCACTCCGAAACTCCGGATGATCTCGCCCAGCGGCTTCATGTAGATGTTAAACAACATGGGAGACAGTATTGAACCCTGAGGAACCCCACAAGACAAAGGTTGTGGGGTTGAACAGGAGTCTCCCAATAACACCTTCTGAGACCGACCCTCGAGGAATGAGCGGAGCCACTGCAGAACAGTACCTCCAAGACCCATCCCCGCGAGGCGTCCCAGAAGGATACCGTGGTCCTTTCTGGTGGATCCACATCTGCAACTTTTGATAAATTGGGGAGTGCAAGTGTTTTGTGATAGAAATGACAGCTGGATCCAGGCCTCCACAACACAGCACCCTCCAAAGGTTCCCATCGATGTATTATCGAAGGCTTTCATGGTCCAAATCATTGCGTTGCTGTACGTTTTTCGAGCTGTCTGACCATGCTCCAGAAGCATTCTCTCCTGACATTTCGCCTGCAATTATTTATTTATTTTATTTATTTATTCCCTATTTTCTCTTCCTCCTTAGAGCAGTGGTTCTCAAACTGCCTAATGCCGTGACCCCTTAATGCAGTCCCTCATGTTGTGGTGACCCCCAACCATAACATTGTTTTTGTTGCTACTTCATAACAATCATAACAATCCCGCCTCATAGGAAACCTGTTACAAAACAGGAGCTTTTTTGTTGAGTTCCAGGGCCAGAGAAGCAGATGGCGGAGACATAAGAACGGCCTGCCTCAGGGGAGCGTGCTTGCCCCATCCATGTTCAACATCTACACAAATGACCACCCACTGCCAGAAGGGACAGAGAGCTTCATCT